TTTGGTCTCTTGTTCTCTACCTATGAGTCTACATAGTTTTGTTGTGCTAGTGTTTGCTCTACTTAAGTCAAAGAAAAAGCTAATGTTTCCTTTTGTTGTTGCTGCGACTTTTGTTCCTAGTTTATGTTTTACTGTTTTTTACGTCTTTTTTTTTTGTAGAGAAGAACTAAGAAGTACTCAGAACTTTAAAATACTCGAAACTACTCAGTAGTCAGGATCGATTAAAAGTATTCAGTACAAAATGTTGGAGAGATATTTAAAACGCCGAGTTCTATTTAAATTTACTGGTATTCAGAAATGATTGTAGATACTCAATTTGTCCCAGAAACCCAAGGTTGTTTTTTTTCTAACGCATACCAACTCATTTTATTGGTTTTGACTTAAAAACTATCCAAATAAAATTTTATGTAATTCCGACCACGGCAACCCGTGCCGACTTGTAGTAAAAGTTATCAGAATGATCTTTTTGCAGTTCGCGGGTTTTGTTAACTTACTCACTTTACTCCTATATAAGGCGGTATTACTATACTCCCAACCAGGGACCAAACATAACAGTTATTGATGAAAACTGTTATTGAAAAATTCGCTATGAACGAAATGTTCCTTTTCTTCACCAAGAATAAAATTTGAAAATAAATTTTTATTTGTAATTTTTATGCAAAATTAAAAAATAACAATTATTTTTGATTTTTATTTTATAAATCCAAAATAACAATTATTTTTGATTTTTGTCTAAATAATCTGCAAATAACAGTTATGTTTGATTTTTATACTATACGTCATAGATAACAGTTACCAAAAGACTTTTATTTATAAAAGTCATCAATATAAATCAGTCAGCGACTTTTATTTTTAAGTCATACGTAAAAAAGTCATTATAATTTTTCGCAGTTAAGATAAAAATCAAAAATAAATGTTATTTTGGATTTATTAAAAAAAAAAACAGAAATAAGTGTTATTTAATGAGTAATTAAATTAAATAATATTTAGAAAATCTGCGGTTTGGGTGTTTACCAGATAATCAGGATTTTTTCCAAGGACCATAAATTATAATATATTTCCAAAAGTTTACACAAATTATGGATATAGGGTATATATTAAAAGAAGAATTCAAAAAAAGATTAATTATAACTTTTGTTTTCAATTATCCTTTTGGAACATGTGACAAATGTCCTTGAAAATATTATCCTTGAAGATTTTTAATTTTGAATGCATTTTGAAGAATCTGAGTTTAATTAAAATCCTATAAAAATATATATATTGAAGGATTAAAATAGCATAGGATATTTTCCTTTATATAATTTTTTCGATTTCTTTGGGAGAAATACTGTCATCTATCTATTTAAAATTTAAAGATGCAGATTTACTAGAAATGTGTTCAAATTTGTGAAACATATTAAATTTTTCACGTTTCCAAAGTTTTCCTGGACGATTAGTAGGAGTTACTAACTAAAACTTCAACTAAAAGTCGGCACGCGTTATCGTTATCCTACGGCCATAAAACTGCATGCTAAAAAGCGCAAAAGCCGAGGGTATACATATCAAAATTTTCAAACAATTTTTTTCCATTTACAGTGACAAATGACCACGTGTTTTTGTTATTTTTATATAAAAATATCGTCTAAGCTTTAACCAAACCCGTGTAAAGCACAGTTCGAAACTTTATAAAAAACTTAGGGAAATTCAATAAATTTTCATTAAAATTTTAACTTTTTATCCTGAATTTTTAGAAAATTTTTGGGTATGCAGTTTTATAGTCCATACAATTTTAGTCTAATAAAGTGTAAATTTCAAAATCGCGTTGATTTTTTAGATTTTTTTTTTCGTGACGGAGTTTTGCACTTTTTTCATATAAGTATGAATTTCTTATGAAATAAAACGCGGAAGACCGTCAGCAACAAAATTTCAAAATATTAGCGCAAGTTTTTGTATATTGTGCTCCTTATATTCAAAAACACGAAAAAGTGGCCTCCGAAAAAAAATTCTCAAAATTCAACGTGATTTTTAGCCGTTTCAAACTTGCCCTTCATTAGACTAAATTGGGCTATAAAACTGTATACCCAAAATTTTTCTAAAAATTCAGGATAAAAAGTTGAAATTTTGATGAGATTTTGCTGAATTTTTCTAAATAAATATTTATAAAGTTTGACATTGTGATTTACACGGTTTTCGTTTATGCTTAGACGATATTCTTATATAAAAATAACAAAAAAAGAGCTAGAAAAATATTACGAATATTAAAAAAAAAACTAACACGTGGTCATTTGTTTAAGTCACTGTATGGGCAATTCTCAGAAACTTCGAATCTTTTTTGACTTTTTTTGTTTGCTTTTAAATTGCGAGCACATGTCTGTAATTTTTAGTATACGTTAAAGTCAGTGTTTGAAAGCGCAGGACATCGGCAGAGAAGCTGCTCCAAGGTTTCCCGCTCACGACACTTCCTGCACCTGTCCACGCTAGTGATACCCATTTTTAGTACATGAGCAGCCATCAGGATATGCCCCGTAAGCAATGCGGTAATAACTCTGCAGTCTTCCTTTCCTTTCCGTTCTCACACATAATTTTTGCAGTTTTGCAAGCGATTAACTCATTCCATTAAGCCCTGAACTAAGCAATCGTATTGTCGTCTATTTCCAATACTTAAGTATTGCTTATTTTTGGCCTCACTTTTCCAATGCAGAGATTTTATCAGACTTATATAAAAGCTATTCTAGGAATCTTGCACTAATGGAGGAACGCTAGGAGGCAATAATTTAAAAAGCATTGAAGTTGCTCAGCCAGTTGGTTTATATAAGTAAAGTTATGATGCAGTTCTAAAAAAGCCTTTCGTTTCTTTTTTTACAAACATTTTTAATCAATATTTATTATCTGCTACTCTTAGACGACTTGGGATTTTTAGATAAAAAATAGTAGAATTTTTGCTTTCAACTTCTTGAACTTTTTTCATTCTCCTTATTTTTCAATATACGAAGCGAAATGCAATTGAAAAAATGTCGCTTATTTTACTTATTTAGGGGAATGAAGAGTTTGTGTTCTATTTTTTTTTGTTGTTTAAAACTTTAAGGAATCATATCATTCGTAGCCTCAAAGTGTGTCTGTTGTTAGCTTATCTGTTCATGAAACCCATCAATGCAATACACCCAGCAGCCTACACCACACAATAACAACGCCACAAAATAGAATTGATTGTTGTTGAGAAAAAAAAAAACAAACACCAAAATTTTAAATGTTCACAGCATTGGCACGGATACAAAAAAAAAAAAAATAACAACATTGTTATAATACACCTAACTGTGAACAACACAAATGTAACTCGTCTAACACAGCATTTCGTACAGCAACTGCGATTGTGCTAAAAATCATTTTATTCACTATTTTCTACATACATACATACACACATGCATAACTTTGTATTTTTTCATGGTAATCTAAATTTTCTTCTTATTTTCGTGCTTTGGTTGAATGTTGAATTTGCTTAATTATCATCATCTTACTTTCCTCAAACTCAAAAATTACAAAAACATACATATGTATATGCTTCTATGAAGGTGACGCATTTTGGAAGAAAAACCAAAAAAAAGGAATACATAAATTAAGTAAAGGTATAAAAATATGGCGTAAAAATTAAGATCTAAGTAATTTGAAAAAAAATTAGGGAAATTATTTCCCATTACCCAAAATGTCTTTTATAAAACAAGTAAGAAGAGAATTTAGATTGATTTGGTTTTCATTCGACACATTGTAATTTGTATGGCAAATTTTCGTGTTTTAGATACGCTGCATAGTATGCAATGAGGAAACTACATATATAAATTTTAGGTTTTCACTTATTTTTTTTTGGAACAGCCACGGCCGTATGCTACTTGCTGGAGTCAGTTGTGTACAGTGAAAGCGCAAACAGTGGACGTTGCGTATGAAATACGCCGCCGGTGGTAGAACAAACTTCTGCGAAAAATGTTAAGCTGACTTTCAATTATGAACATTAGAGTGCCTCACTAGGAAAAGTTGCGGGTTTTCCACAGGATTTATAAAACAGAATATTTTGGACAAACTAGACCGATTTAAAAATACCCCAAAAAATTTGATTATTTGGATGCCGTTGATAAAACCTTTAAACAGTATTATGCATTCTTTTAATCTTAACTTGATGTTATTTTATGGAAAAAAAATATTTTTCAAAATTAATTTAATTTAGGAAAACTTGATTTTTGCAGCGCTACGCATACTTTTTAAACTTAATCTCTTCATTCTTTTGATATTTTTTGAAAAAAAATTTTTGAAAAAAAACATAATAAAAAATTTTAATAATGAAAAACTCGATTTTTGGAGTTCTTTACGAATCGGTCCAGCTTTCGTAAATATTAATATTTTTCGGATTTATGTATATAGTTTTCCGATATTAAAAAAAAACTTTTTTTTCGTATGCAGGGTGATGCTCCCTAATGTACGTAGGTATATACGAAAGCCACTTTTTGCTTTCATTTATCGACTGTTTTCGCTTTCAAGGTCTGCTGCTCGTCGCCGCCTTGGCAATGGCAACGGTTGCTGTGGAATTATTTTTATTTTATATAACTTGCATCCTGTCTTAGCGAGCGTCAACGCTGCTTTGTTCACAAAAAAAAATGAATTTTTTTCCTGGTGAAACGTGAGAATTTTAACTTTAAGATTTTTGTATTTTTTACATTTTTATCTTATCAAATACTAAACCCCATCTCCCTTATCATAAGTTAAATTAAAACCATACCCTAACTCACCGCCACTAACCACAAAAGTAAATTAAAAGCAACAAAGTATGCAAAAATTATCCCAAAAATGCAAACTACTTTTTTTGTTCTGCCATAATCACAATGTATCGTATTTCATTAAAACGTATGTAACAATACAAATTTTATATAACAGCAAATAAAGCAAAACAAAATATAAATTAAACAGCAAAAAAAACATTTTACTACTGTATGTGTTGCAATTACAACAAAAAAACGTGTGTGTGTATGTTCCAGGTCCCCCTGTGGAGGTTGGCGTCACAATGTATGTCCTCAGTATCAGTTCGGTTTCGGAAGTGCTCATGGTACATATCGCAAAATAAACTTAATACTCGTACATGCAAATATATATATATACATATACATACGTACATACATACATACAAACTTTGCTAGCCGACAGCGCAAGCAAGCAAGCGTAATAAACAGAACCAGAACAACATACTTATACTTTTGCATATATATGAATAACCGAGATACATACATACAACAACAGTTTTAAATGTCGATTTGGTATTATTTCTTTAAACAGCGAATTTTTTTGGTTAAAATTTAATTATTATAATTTTTGTTGAATATATTTTTTTTTTAATTTTGAACAAAAATACATAAATTTTATTAGAATAAGTGTACAGTCAAAGATATTTGGTTTCATATAAAGAAAAATGTTACAAGTTTAAATATTAACTCATTATTTTTTTTTTAAATTGAGTAAGCCCTAAATAATAAAATGCTTAAACATGAATTACTTAGAGTAAGGTATTGAGGTATTGAAAACAAGATAAACTAAAGATAGATGACAGTTATCATGATCAGAGTATAATAACGCTTACTTAGGTGGTGTTCATCTAGGCTTTATGTAAGCTATCAAAAATTTGTTAAATTTAACTAAAGGGCAGGCAATGGCAAACCTCAGGTAGAACGGTTACCTATATACATCTATGTGGTCGGTGCCACGCCCATTTCCAAAAATTTTACCATAAACGTATTTCTTGGTAAGGAATTTTGCAACCGTCAATTTTGAATAAATTAGCTTTAATATTTACTGATTTATCGAAGATTTTGTATTTCTCTAAATTACCGTTATATGGGATGTGGGCGTGGTTATTGTCCGATTTTTTAAATTTTCGGCCATTTAGTATGCTGTACCAAGGCCAACAACTGTGCCAAATTTGGAAGAAATAGATGCAGCGGTTGCCAAGATATACACATGTAACACTAAGTGGGCGTGGCTATGCCCATTTTCCAAAAATTTATAATATTCTTATTTTTTCCCTGAAAATTGTCGTAAATATCAATTTTGAGTGAATTATCTTCAGTAGTTACTAAAATATTGCAGTTT